CATCATTGGCACATGACATTAAATTGTTGAACATTTTCAACAATAATAATGGAAGAATGAAAGGAAGAAAAAAAGAAAGTTCTTTGAAAATTATGATTGTTCAAGAGTTATATTTGTTCAAACAATTAAGTTTATTCAAACAATTATGTTTGAAAACAAATAATTATGTTTATTAGAAAATAAACAATTGTGTCTATTGAAAATAGATAGTTGCATCTATTTGGAAGAGGCATCTTTGTCTCTCTGGTTAAAGATGTATGGAAAAAGAAAAAAGAGAAATAATTAGCAATAATTCTCTCTACTTTCTTGCATCTGAGCATTTGGCTCAAGGTTAGTGCATAATCTTCTTACTTAAAAAGTAAGGTTTGAATCCCCCTCTCCTAATTGAAAAAAAAATTCTCTCCACTTTCTTCAAATTCTTCTTAGATTGCTTTTATAGTTTTTTGTTGCAAAAAAACCTTTATAGAAGTTTGATAATCTTGTCATATCCCGATGAACACTCAATGGATTGATTTCGTCAGTGCAGAATACTGTATATACTTCATTATATCTTTAAGGTTTATACGTCGGTAATTTTTTTACACACTATAAATGGAGGCAAATAAAACCTTAAAAAAGTGGCATTGTTATGCGTCTTGAATCCATTTCTTGATTTTCTAATTCTATGTTCCAACATATATTAACAATTGTAACATTGAATAACAATGGTCAGTTAACAACTAATGATAAAGGCTTATTTGACTCAAAATAAAAGTATAGAGATTTAATTGAATACAATAAAAGCATAAGGGTTAAATTAACTTTTTTTTTGTATAGTTTTGTTACACATGCTTTATTGCTCCTGAACCAATCCACCTAGCATCATTATCCTCAAGCACAATAATTTCAAAAATCATGGCCACAAAATTTTTAGTCAAATCAACACTTGAAGAAGCATTTTTCTTATTCTAACAATCGACATTCTTTCTTGAAATGTCTTGACTTTCCTCAATGAAAGCATGCATCGTTCTTTTCCTTTGAAATTTTGAACTTTTGGCATTCTATTTGAATTTCTTTTTATGTTTAATGGCATGTTCTTTCTTCATAGCATATACTTTGGCTACATTCTTGTTTCTTATATTCCTCTTCAATTCAAAGATGATTAGTCAACGCTTAGGAGTTATTCTTTTTCTTGTGTTTCAAATTTCTTTTAAAATCTTTTCATGATGGAGGAAGGTTATGGCACAATTATAGCTTCAACCATGTTCATCTTATAGTTTTTTTTTTTGAAAAAAAAGTATGTTGATCTTCTTAGAGTTATTAGACACATGGTTGTAATCTCACAACTCTATTAAATATGTAACAACTAAGAATACAAGCAATTGATGCAAATAAATTCGAGAAAGGCAAAAAACTTATTGGTAATTTGATGAAAATCATTTTGTCATTTTCTTTGTCGTCATCAAACCAGTCCGCTTTAAAAAAATTAAAGTGAATTCCCTTAACATTCCACTTACAATAGACATTATTGAACAGAAATAAAACCCTAAGAGCATGTTTGGCTTAGCTTTTTTTTAACTGAAAACCTATTATAAAGCTCTTATAAAAAATAATAGCTTTTAAAATTAAATTTAAGTTATTTAGTAAATTTACTTTTTATAAGCTCTTTTTTATAGATAAGTTCTTTGGTAAAACAATTTATATAAACTCTAACTTTAGTTAAAATTACCATAAAGGGTATTTAATAAATAACTTTTTATTAATCAAGAATTTCTTTGTTCAAAATAAAAAAAATTAACTTTATTTTTTATCTATTTAAAATAAATTTTTGAAAATATAAAAAATATTTTTATATAACATAAAGTTTATAATTGATAATAAATTATAAAAAAAAGAGTTCAATAAATAATTTATAAGTAACATATAATCTATAAATAATTTTTTATTGAATAATAATAAATAAATAAAATCAAGAGAAAAATTAAATCAAATAAAAAAAATAAGTATGATAGAAAACAGTGAGTCGACTACCAAAACCTTTAACCTTAACAATGGAGGAGAACTCATAAAAGAAGAAGAAAAGTCTAGGGTGGTAGTAATAATTCAAGAAAATCACTAATGTCCTTATCAACAAAGTTCACTTCGATGAACAATATTATCTCAACAACCATAATCAACAAATATTATTTCAATTCTTATCTAATTTATGTCAACAACCATTGACCTATTTAATTAATTATTTCAATCATAATTATCAAATATTATTTACACCATAAAGAAGTTAAGAATAAATAAACATCAAATAATTGTCATATCAAATAATAAATTAAGAAATATCAACCAATAAAGAGAGTTTTCAAAGTCCACAAAAAAGATAGAAAATAAAATGAAAAAGAAAATAGAAAGAAACAAAAGAAATAATACTTGAATGCAGTTTTTAATTTTAAATCTTCTTTTTTCTTAATTTTTGTAAGAACAAAAAAAAAACTTAGAATGATGATTTTTTGAAAGGAAGAGAGGAGACGGAGATCGATAGGGAGAGAGGAGTATTATTTGAGAGAGATGATTTTTTTGGAAAAAATAGCTCTTCGCCTATGTTTTAAAAAATAAGAGAAGAGAAAGCTCGTAATTGGAGTCTTTTTTTAAGTTTTTTTTTAGATTTTATTTTTTTAAAAAAATTACTTTTTTTAATATCTTTTTACGAAATTCTATTTAACCCAACTTTTATTTTTAAACCGTAGATAAGCTAAATATAAACCAAGCCAAACAGACACTAAGATTGTTACTTTAAAACCAAAAATATTAGGGAAAAGCTTCAAAGTGTGCACCAATACCATTTTTTAAAAAAATTTTATCCATCTTGTTGGGGCGCAAAATGCTTATAAGCGGCAAACCTCGAGAATACATTGAAACCCAATAACTGATTGCGTTTTACATTAACAAAATCAATTCACTAAACACTCATCAATATATGACAACATTATCAAACTCGTATAGATCTTTTCTATGATAAAATAACATAAAAACAACGAAGAGTATTTGGAGAAGGAAGAGAAATTGGTTACAAATTGTTTTTATATCATTCCAGAAAACCAAAGAGTCTTATTTATAGACAAATATATATTTTTTTTACAAATATAATATTTTGAATGACCATAACCATTTAAACAAATATATTTATTTGAACAAAAATAATTTTTTAAATGGATATAACTATTTGAACAAATATATCCATTCACAAAAAATTTTTTTGCTTTAAATATGTCCAGCAGATAATGTGTCCACATTTGTTTAGACATATGCTTGCATTCGTGAACCACGATGGATTGAGCCCCCCGCAGTCCTACCCCACACCATGTGAAAGGATTTTCAATCCACCCCTTTGGGCCTCAATGTCTCTCTTTACATACATATAACTTTTCATTTACTTGCATTCAACCCAATGAAAAATTTGATTCCATGTTGAAATGAGATGATTTTGACAATGTCTTGACATTACTTCAACAAGCAATTTGTCCCCAAAAACCAAGGTAGACAAAATTTTTACAACTGAAATGTGAAATCAATTAATCACCGTGGACAATTATTGATTCTTGGTGGCCTAACCAAACCTGCCACTAAAAGAAAGTAGACTCAAGTGAGAAAACAAGGTTCCAAGTTTCCATTTTCATGTCAGCAAATGCGTGAAGTCCATAACTCTGAACTTTCGTTCCTTTTCCTTGAAAACTTTTTGTTTCAAATATTCAGAGATGAGACAAGGCAAAGCTCTCGACACAAGATGGATGGACTTCCCAAAGCTATACAGTCCGGTTCAATCACCCCAAGCAGGGAGTCCAGAACATGACGAAGAAGGGGAGATGTTTGGGGTGATTTTGAGCAGGAGTCGTTCAGTTTCATTTGCTTCCACTCTTGCCCTGAGAGCTGAGAAACAGAATTCAGCACTTGAGAATGCAGTGAGGAGGGCATTTTCCATGAGGAGATCGACCTCTGTTCCAAGTGGATACTACAAACTATTTGACCATTGCGAGCCTGTTGCCGAGAATGAAATGCATGCTGCAAGAAAATCCAGGAAAAGGAGGGGCAAGATATTTGAAGCCTGCAGGCGACTAATAGGAAGGGTTTTAGCTTAGTCTAATACTTCAGCAGCTGGAAGCCTCCCACCTGAGTTGGAATTCCCAGTCATAGCTGGCCTTGTCCCCATTGACAAACTGTAAGCCTAATTGTTCCTCCCTTGTCGTTGTATTCCAGTCAGCTACGTCTTGAAGGTATTGCAGGCACATCCTACTCTTGATGAATAAAGCATTAAGAGCCCAACCCGTACAAGGTTTCTCTTGCTTAATTACTGAACCTCTCCTCTTTATTTTGAGCTTTACATTTTTTTTTTTGAAAGAATTTATGAATTCTTATGGAGCTTTCAGCATAACCTGGTAATGTTAGATTAGTAAGGTATAATATAGGGGGTGCTCAAACATAATGAAACGAAAAAAGATTAATTAAATTTAACTCCCCACATGTTTAAAACATACTCCAATGGCCATTACCCTCTCCCTACAAAATTTAACCTGGTAAAATGTGCAATGCCCATACTTATAAGCTTTTCAAGATCCATCCCTGGTAAAATCTGAACATCCTACTTCTTTTAAAGCACTTGACAGGACACAAAACGTACTAAAAGACAATTTTAATTATCCTTGGAATCCTTGTTTTCTATTTTAATTATGTACAAGAATTGAAAAGGAGGAATTGGAAACATATCCTAAAAGTAAGAGGGGTCAACATTTTCAAAATTGAAAGCATACAACTCCCTCTTGTACCCGAAAAACCCAAATAGAATTTGCAGGAGATAGTTGGGGATTTAAACAGGTACTTCCCACTTCAAACAGCCCTTAATTTATCTCTACTACCAACCCACCCGCAGAAATTATAAAATGAGACCCAAACACCAAGCTAAAATGTTAGACTTGACATGAATCAACTCTTAACAAGAAGAAAGAAAGAATTTAAATCTAACTCTTTTGAACTATTCGACCAAATGCTCATCTACGATTTACTTGGGCCATAGACAGAAAAATTGTTATTCAAATACAAAAGCTTCTCAAGGCTAGAACCTTTAAGATATAGCTTCCACAGTAGGTGTCGCAAGGATAATAAACAAACAGTTGGCTTTCGGATGGTAGCATATGCTCTGTGGCTTACGTCTCAGTCTAGTATGCAATCTTGCTAAACATGGCAAAAGGTAATTGGTATAAGGAAAGGGGCATTTTTCTCCTAAGTTTTGGCGTTTGGGCAGGGGTTTTCACAGATAGCATATACACATGGCCCTTCATGCAATACTTCCCATACCAGTTCTCAACCTCAAGAACGATATATATCATAATTACTGCAAAATGGAGACCTTCACATAATAAGCATCATCTGTGAATTTTCTGACATCATCTGAAGGCAATCTCATCGTTTAGCATCGCTCAAAAATCTTGTAGAGCTTCTCCAGTGAAGCAACCTGAAAAAGGCAAGGATCACAGATTAGTGTACTTCATGATCAACAAAACAACATATGAGCCCCTTGACCCAAAAAACAGTGGGAGGAGAAGATGAAAACAAGTTTCTGAAAGAAAGTTCAGCAGTTCTACTATTAGTATTAATTTTTTGGGTTTGTCCTACCAATATTAATCATTAATTCTACTAGCATGTCTTATTATTATATATGCTACCATGTACAAATAAACTAATTCAAACTAGAAGAGTAATACCAAACAAAAGTCAAATGCACAATGGGACGTCTATCATCTTCAAGAGGATGCTCCAACTGTTATAACTTCAGACTTCTAAATTTAAAAGTCTCAATTCAAAGTCCCAAGTCTTTGAAAGGAGGGTGGTTTTATAGGATAGGAGGTTATGCCCCATCGTGTAACCAACGGCCCAATGGGTGTCCGTACAAACATAAGAAAAGAGAAATTATGTTTGGACCAAACATGGTTAGAAATTGAGACTCCATCTTGGAGATCTTGGGTTTAAATCTTAAGATGGGCAAGATGGGATTTATTAGATGAGAGATGGCCACTGCCTACCTCCTGGCCCAAGATCATTTGTACTGAAAAAAAAAAAGAAAAACAAAAACTTGCTATGGATTAGTATGTATAACATGTTGATGGGAGTAGTCATATGGTTCCAATAAGACTAGCAAACTATGGAAGGAAAGGAACTCCAAGACTAAACTCTGCCTATATCAGCACTTGTGAAGAGTAAAATCTGCCTACCCTGACAAAGGTTCCATTAACAGCCATTGACGTTGGAGGCTTTAGAAAGAGTCTCATGGATGGAAACAACACATGTTGGATTGACCAATCGCGCTGGCCCCATACAGTCTCTGCTTCTGAAAGTAGTTCGTGCTCAAATTCATCCTCTATTTCAATATCATCCCCTGTGAACACCACAGCAAACAACGCCAATTACTGAAGGAACATAAATATAAATTTCCCAAAGCATTCTCCAGCACAAGGAATATAGCTATGTTATATGTACTCGGACAGATGTTAAACACGGGCATGCATTCAACAGGGTTATGTCATGTTGCTGGCAATTCTTTACATTAATTTTGAGGATCTAAGCATCATCCACATAAATTTTAAGTGCCCAAGAAGTGTCAGACACAGGTACAAGGTAATGTGAAAAGGCTATGTAACATAGTGCATATGAGTTGAAAATTGCAGATTGAGGCAAGAAAGGCAATTTTGGACACGACACAAGAAGACACGGGGTTAAACAAGTTTAAGTTTAGTCTTATCGCGTTTCATGTCTTAACCGTGTCAGACACGAGTAACACGTTTAAACACGCTATTGTGTTCATTGTGTTACCGTGTTTAAACGTGTATATGTGACATTTATTAACCCGTTAAAATAAGTACTTAGATACTATGTTAGCCTTACTTAAATAATTTTAAACAATTATTTTAAAAGGTTTTTTGAATTTCATAAGGATTATAATGTAACAACTATTTTATTATCATTGTTTTTATATTATTGATTTTAAATTTGAATAATAAAATTATATTTAATTGTAAATATTTTAATTTAATCGTGTCAAATGTGTTAAATGTGTTAATCGTATTTATCATGTTATGAAAAAATTGTGATTAATCGTGTCGTATTGTATAAAAAATCTTAACACATTTAATAAACATGTCAGTCATGTCATGTGATGTTACACGGTTATTAAACGTATCCGTGCACATGTTTTCAGATGCTGACACAAATAATTATTCGTACTGTGTTCGGGCTTAGTCTTATTGTGTTTTGCGTCTTAATCATATCGACACGATTAAGACACGAACACACGAATTGCCAGGTCTTTAAAGTATGGCAGTTATTTGAGCAAAAGCCAGCAAACATTTCATTACCCCTCCCATCACCTCTTTTTCCCCTAGTAAGTACCTGATAGTTAATATGAACATAGAACTCTACTCTCCTCAAAACTGTCTTTGAAGCAAAAGGCATGAAGCAAAACTAGAAAACAATTAGATAACAAAGTACTCGGAAAAACTATTATATAAATTTATGCAGCACGACTCTTCTTAGATCGCAAGAACCTTACATAGCCCCACTGTCAATAGCATCCTCAATTACTGATAAGATTAACTAAATAACAAAAATGATAAAGAAAAATGTTTCTAGAGGTGAAAATTTAAGTTAAGATTACCCAAGTTGGGTGAAGTGAAGAAAAAGCCATGCCATATATTTTGAATAGAAGTAACACAACCAGCAATAATTTGAAATTAATCTACAACATTTTATGTAATTTGAAATTGTGTTAAAATTATGACACATTTAAAGCAAACTTTCACTAAAACAAGCACAAATCAAATAAATTTCCTTAAAAGTACGAGTTTCCTAATTAGTGGCCCAAGGACATCAGTTAAGTCTAATATTTTAATGCAATGGTTTGCCTTTAATGTAGTGACTTTCATTTATGATTTAGTATTTCTAGGCTGCATTAAATACCAACCGGCAACAACTGCATTTGGTGCATCTTAAAATGGGCCTTAGAGCACTCAGTAGCAGGGAAAACCTATAACATTGCATTTTATCTTGGCCTGCAGTTCCACTAGTAAAATTGATTTACTTATTACTGCTACAAGTATTGCCAGGCTCATGCTTTCTACTAGTCTCACAAAAAAAAGGCTTATCTTCAAGGGAAACATACACAATGAGATTCAGACATACCAATGTCACAAGAAGACTTTCCTGCATCTTGAGGATTCTTCCCATGTTTTCTCTTTCTATAAAATTCCAATCCTTCACCTGATGGATTTGGCAAAAGAGGAGGATGCATGGCGTAAAAATTCCCAAGAGCAGCTGCAAGTGATTGGAAGCAATTTTTTTCATCTTCCCAATCAACCTACAGTAAATAGAAGAAATCATAATTTGTACAAACAAGTATTTAATTCCATGAAAAGTTTATATGTTAAAACTTTGAGACTTACATGTAAGTAATATCAGCTATCACCACTGACAAAGCAAGATACATCTTAGTAAAATAGATAAAATGAAGCACTTGTACAACAGTAGAAATTACCTGGTAAATTAATATATATACTTTCTCACTTATTTTTCTAATCCATACCTATGGTGATTCCTTCAATTGCTTCAAGCATGACTTGTTACAAACACAATTACAACAATAGCCAAAAAAGAAAAAGAAAATGAAAGAAAAAGGGCCTAGGCAAAGAAGGGGAGGAGGGAGGCTGCCAATGGCAGTGAATTAGAAAAGGGAAAGAGAAAGTGAAGTTTAGACAGGAGGAGGAAAAGAAAGGTAAAAGAAAGGAAGGAGGAATAAGAGAGAGAAAATAAGGGGAGCAAAGTTCTCAATGTCACCGACAATGATGCAGATGATGGTGACAAAGGAGAGAAATGAACCCTAGATTAAAGCAACAGATAGAGCCTTGATGAAGCATCTGAAAAGGTCAGAAAAGGGGGAGGAGAGAGGGAAGAAAAAAAAAAAGAAACAAGGAAAGTTATGTGAGATCGAACATATATATATATATATATATACATACAGAGAGAGAGAGAGAGAGAGAAACAAGAAAAAGAGCAGAAGTAACAGGATCCATTTACATGCAAACTCCATGTTGCTAATGTTGTCATCAGATTGACTTTAATGTGATATCACATAAACTACCACTTCATTGTTCTCACTCTTTGAATTATTGGCAGTATGTGTGCAAAATGAACACAACAATTCAACTTCAAGTGAGATCTCACATAAGTTTGTGAGGAAGAGCTAATTTAGTCTTTTAAGCACAAAAAGCTCACAATCTCTAACAACTACCAGATGTCATGGCAATAGAAACAAGAATTACAGTAATTAAACACTGGAACTTACATCGTTGCCCAAACATAGTAAGAATTCAGGAACACGATCCATGTCTGGAGTGTACTGGTCAAGTAGTATTGGAAGCCTAGACAAATTCCCATCTGAATCAATAAAAATGCAGAAATACTCCTCTAGCATTTCAGCTTTTTGCTTAAGCAGCTGTGTATTCATCTGCAGAAGATCAGCGGTTTGTATAAGAGCAACCATAATGGGTCGCAAGGCACACATGTTGAAAGCTACAAAAACAAATGTATTATGTACTTAAAAGGCAACTTTATGGCCTTAAATGAAATCAAATAACACATAATGAAATATGAGAACCAGTCACATCAATCTTCATTTAAATTAAAAAATAAAGGAAAGGAAAAGAAAGAACCAAAAAAAGAAAATATATTTTTATGCATTTTTGTTCCTTTTTCACTCTTACTCTTTTTTCCTTTTGCTATGATCCTTTCTGTTGTTTGCTGATGGAGGGAAAGAAAATGCATTTTGCAATGATTTTCGAATTTTTTTTTTTGAAGATTCGAATTAGTTAAGATGTGAAAATTTGTTTTCTGATTAATTCTATAAACTCAGACAGCTCAGGTGGCCGACTAACTGACAATTACACAAGCTAGGCCTCAGACTGAACTGGTTCTCCCTAAAAGTAGTCCCCCTCACTGGACCTAGCAATATGGACAACCAAACCAGGCTTGACACAGTATGAAATTGTTCTGCTTGACAATTTATACGCTATACAACCTTTAAACCACAAGGCAAGTTATACTGTTTACATTAATGAAAAGCATATAATACAACCTGCTATGTATAAATATATTACTAGCTATATTTAAGTCAGTTCAATCAAGACAACAGTTATTTTTATCAGTCTCAATCATGCTGGAAAATTCAGACAGAATTTCAATCAATCATGAAAGGAGAAATGAAGTTACTTCTGCAATCTTCATTTTGAGGTCATCATTTTCATTGCCTTCTAGATCCAACTCCTCCTCCTTCAGCGCCAACATAATTAACTCTTGCAGGGGTGCTGATTCGCTTAGTTGAATAGCATTAAAATGAGCAAATCGACGAAGAACTTGCTGGTACATAAGTTCTTTGCTGCAAATGCAGACAAAAAGGAAATTTCAAAAAACAATACAAAATAAAATATCTGCTTTCCAGGAGAACTCAGCAAATGGACGCAAGGTGTGAATCCAACTCAAGCATACAAGTAGACCTGTCAAAATGGGCTTGGCCCATCGGGCCAGCCCATTTTTTTTAAAATATGGGACGGGCCGGGTTTAAAAATTTAAGCCCATATTAAAACCGGGCCTAAACGGGCTAGCCCGTTTAGACCCGAGGGCTGACCCGGGTTGGTGCGGGCCAGCCCGGCGGGTCAAAAAATAATTAAACTAATTCGGTAATTCCTAAGTCCTACCCGCCCGGTTACCCGACTCCCCAACTCCCCAAGTCCCGACTCCCCGACTCCCCAACTCCCTTTCTTCTTTCTGGAATTCTGGCTTTCTTCGATCTTTCACGGTGAGTCGCCGCCGGACTGGCGTTCTTTCTCACTCCCCATCCGGCATCCGATCATCCCGATTAGCAGATCAGCACTCCCCATCGTCGCCATCACCCATCGACATCGAGATCGATTTGTCGCAGCCGCAGGTCCCGCACCTTCTCCGGTTTTTCATCAAAATCGATCAAAAATTAGGGAATGTGAACTTGACACTTGAGTGGGGGGGGGGGCCCGGAGGGGGGGGTGGGGGGCGCGGGGGGAATCGGGAATCACCCACAAGGACTCGTGGAGCCGGAGGGGGGCGGCAGGGCCGCAGGGGGAATCGGGACTCGTGGGACTGTGGGAGGGGGGCAGGGCCGAAGGGGGAACCGGGAACGGGATTCGTGGGACTGTCAACTGTGGGAGGGGGGGCAGGCCGCAGGGGGAATCGGAATCACCCAAAAGGACTCGTGGGAGCCGGAGGGGGGCGGGCAGGGCGCAAGGGGGAATCGGGATTCGTGGGACTGTGGGAGCCTGGAGGGGGCAGGGGGGAATCGGGACTCGTGGGAGGGGGGCGCGGGGAATCAAGTCGGGCCGTCGTGACTCGACCCACCTCTTTTGATCTGCTTCCTCGGCAACCACGGTAAGTCCGATCTGTTTTTCTTTTTTTTTCTTAGTTGTTTCAACTTTTGTGTGTGTTGCTGACTTGCTGGACATGTGGAAGTTTTATGGTAAAGAATATATCGACATTTGTAACAGACTAACAGTTATTTCATTGAATTAAGATGTTTTGTGCAAGAGTTCTGAATTTTGTTATTGTTGCTGCGTGAAATCATGCTTGATGTAGAACTCAAGTTTTGTTTTATCAATTCAATCAATAAATATTGTTGTTTGTTTTTGTGCATAAATTTTTAATAAATTATGTTTATATTATTTGAAGGTGACGATGATGGATCAATCAGTTGAAAATTGTACAAATTTGGATGATGATGTGAACATTTTGAATAAAGATGAAATTCCCTCCCAATCCCATGTATCCGAGTCTGAACAATTGAGTAAGAGGGTAAAAAAAGAAACTTCAAATGTTTGAAATTATTTCACTAAAATAGGCAAAAAGCAAGATGGAGTAGAAAGGGCAACTTGTAATGGTTGTAAAACGGAGTATAAGGTTGGCCCTAAACCTGGTGGCTCTAGTTATGGCACTTCACATTTGCGTCGTCACATTGAAACATGTAAATTCATTTCATATTTTAATCCACATCAAATGCTTATGGATTATGAAGGGAAATTAAAGGCTAGAAAATTTGATCCTAGAATTTCACGTGACATGCTTGCTGAAGCCATAATTAAGCATGATTTGCCTTATGCTTTTGTTGAATATGATAAGATTAGAGCTTGGGCTAAGTATGTAAATCCAGATGTAGTCATGCATTCTAGAAACACTGCTGTATCTGATGTTCAGAGAATTCATTTGAGAGAGAAAGAGAAACTTAAACAAGCCATGGCCAAGGTACCTAATAGAATTTGTTTAACTTCTGATGTATGGACAGCATCTACTTCTGAGGGCTATATTTGTTTGACTGCTCACTTTGTCAATGAAAATTGGAAGTTATGTAGCAAGTTACTCAACTTTTGTCGTATGCCTCCCCCACACACTGGAGTTGAATTAGCTGCCACTGTATTTGATTGTTTGAAAGAATGGAGAATAGATAAAAAAGTTTTTCTCTCTTACTCTAGATAATGCTTCTGCTAATGATAACATGCAAGTTATCTTGAAAGGTCATCTTCATTTGCAAAGTAGCTTGATTTGTGATGGTGAATTTTTTCATGTGCGTTGTTGTGCTCATATATTAAATTTTATTGTTCAAGAGGGCTTGAAAGTAGTCAATGAAGCATTGTTTAAAATTAGGGAGAGTGTGAAATATGTAAAGGCATCGGATGGGCGGATGAAAAAGTTTCAAGAATGTGTTCAACACGTTGGTATTGATGCAAGTGTTGGGTTGCGTTTAGACGTGTCAACTAGATGGAATTCAACATATTTGATGCTTGAAAGTGCAATCAAATATCAAAAAGCTTTTGCTAGCCTCCAATTTGTTGATAGAACTTATAAATATAATCCATCTGATGAGGAATGGGGGAGAGCAATGATAATTTGTGAATTCTTGGAGCCCTTTTATGAGACTACAAACTTGATATCTGGTTCATCTTATCCAACTTCTAATTTGTATTTCATGCAAGTTTGGAAAATTGAATCGATTTTAAATAGAATTTGCATAATGGAGATGAGGTTATCAAGGATATGTCCCAAATGAGGAAAATGAAATTTGACAAGTACTGGAAAGATTATAGCGTAGTGCTTGCATTTGGAGCTATTCTTGACCCAAGGATGAAGCTTGATTTTTTAAAATTTTGCTATTCTAAGATTGACGCTTCTACTTGTCATGGAAAGTTAGAAAATGTGAAGACAAAGTTGTACGAGCTCTTTGAACAATATGCAAGCAACACATGTGCATCAAGTACATCATCTCACTCAATGAGTAATTTGCCTAAGCAAGTCGAAAGGGGAACTAAACCCAAGGATCAAAGATCTTTAGTGTAAGTTTTGTATCTTTCCTTAATCTTATTACGTGAGAATTTATGTTACTTTATTTATGTTTTGATAATTTTTTTTTGTCTATGTATTTAAAAATTATAGGAGTTCAAACTGTTTCAAAATGAAACAATTTCTATTGCTGGAAAGTCTGAGTTGGATGTTTATTTAGATGAGGCAAAGCTTGATTATGAAATGTTTGAAGACTTGGATGTGCTTAATTATTGGAGGGACAATGCTAAGCGGTTTCCTGATCTTTCTGTTTATGGCACGAGATGTATTGAGCATTCCGATTACTACAGTAGCATCAGAGTCTACTTTTAGTATCAGTGGTCATGTTCTCACCAAGTTTAGAAGTTCCCTCCGCCATGAAAATATTCAAATGCTTGTTTGCACGAAAAATTGGTTGCATGGCTTTTCTTTAGCTGCCGATGGTATTGTTTATTTTATATATCTCAATGTCTTTAATCTTATCTTGTTAAATTAATAATTTTAGTTAAAATTCAAACTCATTATATCTATTTCTTTTATGACAATGAATATTAGATGATAATGACGAGGACTTGGAGACATCATTGTTGTCCAAAGAAGACTCAAATGTTTTGATTGAGGATGAAGATTGAGAAAAACATTACTTAGTCTTGAAGTTTATGAATATTTGATTATGTATTTATGTAGTTATATTAATGGGATTGTAGTTTGTGTAATTGTGTTAAATATTGAAAATTTAAAATTTTATTTATATTTGATGTAATGTATTTGCTTATTTGTTTGTAATATGTTTTTATTATTTAATTTATGGACTAAATCATAGTATAGTTGTATACTTGTATTGATGAGTAGTAGAAATAATTTTTTTTTGAAAAAAATGGGCTAGCCCGGCCCGGCCCATGGGCTAACAAGGGGTGGGCTGGGTTGAACATTTTGTAGCCCATATAAAATATGGGCTGGCCCGGCCCGGCCCATATTTTTTCAGCCCACAAGGGCTAGGGCCGGGTTGGGCCGGGCCGGCCCATATTGACAGGTCTACATACAAGGCTTCAAAGTTCATTATCTCCTATATTTATAATCAATTCCTCTTATTAATGCATAAATTACAATGTTAGTCCAACTTTGACATACTTTCAATCAGAAAAAATCAACCTTGTAAAGGCAATAGTCTTTGCTATCAACATGAAAAAAAATGATCACATGGTGCCACATATTAGTCATGCCATAACAAGACCAAAAAAGATAAAAAGTAACAACTATTCGCAGACTGTTATCTTCATTTATTATTAAAAAGGAAAGCGCGTAAAATGTTAGTGACAGCATCTAAAATGAAAAACAGCCTAGGAACTTGTACATACATGATAAATTGTGTTTGTTTATATACAAAAGGCTACATGGTTAATGCAGGGACTTCATGTGGCACAGACATATAGACTGAAAAAAGTAACTTTATACATGCAGCTCTTCTATCAGAGTGTGATGATTTGCCCAAATTAATGCTGACTTATATGTCTAAAAGGCCACATCTAGATCTTACCTTTATTTAATTTATTGATCTTTTTACCCTGTTTAGCATTGTTCTCTTTTGCAACTTAAGAGAAAAGAAAAAAGTTTTGATCGATCAATCTATTTAATTTATTGTGGTAGAACCTGCAGAGGATGCCATGAAGAGGTGAATTTTCAAGTAGGTTTGACCAGATGAGAGCCTTCTATCTTCCCTCCCCAACCCTGGCCCCGAAAAATAGTAATATTATTTATGCAAAGTTTCATTATGCCTGTCATGCATTATTGTAAGTTGCCTTGTAATAATTGCTTACTGTTTTCACCATTCTATTTCTCTTTTTCCTATATTACGGCATCAACCATAATTTCAAATTTTTTTCTTCATTGATACAGTTAAACAGCAGGTTTCAATAGTATGATGGTCTTCTGTAAGATAGTTACCTGATGAGATTTTGTTCAACTTGAATTTGTACTACAAATGGTACAACTAAATGACTTGGTGCTACAACATTTCCTTGATGTTATAACTCAAGATTTGCACAAGCAAAATGATTTCTTGTGGATGCTGATGACACTTTGAGCCAAAAACTAGTCAAGTCTTTTTCTAAAAACTTAATGGAATTTCTGGTGTCTGCCTTTATCTTGTTTGTTTTACAATACCTTCTGTCTTTCCTGTTAGATGATTATACATTTGAAAGATTATGCCCCTTCTGATTTTATTTGAGACTGTTGGTTATAATGTTCTATATACACGCGTATCCTCAATTCCTTCAATCTTTGTATCCAAAACATGTTCCTTTTAACAAGTTATGCATGACATGTAAGCACACATATGTACAGTTTAGATTTGTAATCTTTGTTTCAAACCATTGCAAGCTCTCAAGAAAAAGGTTTACTACCATTTCCTACCCAATACTCCATAAAATCCATATAGTTTCACATTTTAGCAATCTTGCTTCAAAGATAGGGATTCAATCATCATTAATACCCTTCTCAACCCATTTTCATACTCCTGAATACGAAAATTTCAACTGCGAATTAGTCTTTTCATTTTATTTTTAAATCCCATGCGTGTTCATGCCACTATCATTTTGCTGATTTTCATTTAAGTAGTGCTCTGCAACAAGATTGCTCAAGTTGTAAGAAAAATTTTTGATGTAGATTTTAATTGTTAATATGGTTTTCCCTTTATTGTGATTTAGAATGTCTTATGAGTTATAGCAATGTTGCGTTTGAAAGTGTCTCTTCAAAAAAGTCTGGACCTCCTTGCTTTCTACCCACTGTACTGCATTTTAAGTAATAAATTTAAGGGTAAACACCATATAAACCCCTTGTGATATGACTTTTCTCACATAACACCCTGAGGTTCTTTTTTTTCTAAATAAAACCTTGTGCTTTACTACTGTTACTATAAGGGCAACTATGTTAAATTTTCACTAAAAAGACAATAAGACCCTGATAATTTTCAAAGAAAGACAATAAGACCCTTTTATTTAGAAGCTTTATTTTTTACATTGAAGCCCTAAATTCCCAATTTTAATATTTTATGATTTATAAAGTAGATATAAAAACAAAATACAATCTATAATGTCATACGAAACAACATCAAACTTATTAATTTAAAATATAAAATAATCTGTCAACACTCTAAGCACAAGTACATAGATAACGTTTGCAACAAAATACATTTGACAAAAAGGACAATTCATGAAAATTGCAAAAAACTGCAAACCTCATTTTCTTCACATCACTTCTGCGCACTAACAGATTTTACTCACCTTAGAGCAAATCCATATCCATATTTTCTTTTTTCTTTATATACAAAAACTTGTATCCCTATTAAACTTTACAAAAGTGTCCTTGATTTTACTAAACTATAAAAATGTTAGTGATATTTTAAAAAGGCTCCTTCAAGCTGCCACTTTCTGCTCAATCAAATGGCATCTAATCATGCAAAGGTACATAAACACATACTACTTTATGTTTGTGATAAACCACTGGAAAAGTTATGGCTTCTCTCTTTGAAGAAGAATTTTGGAATTGAGGGCTCAAATGTAAAAAATAGGGCTTTTAAATATAAGGGTCTTATTGTATTTCTAGTGAAAATTATAAAGATCTTATTACCATTTTAGTGAAAATTTAACATTGTTACCCCACTGGGGGATTAGTAGTAAAACAAGGTTTTATTCGAGAAAAAAAGAACCTCAAGGTGTTATGTGAAAAAATATCATACCCCAAGGGGTCTATGTAGGGTTTACCCTAAATTTAAATCTTAATGGGAAGAAAGAATGACAATGATAAAGTTGTGTTCACATGGTGTGCAAAAGTTAGCTTCAATGATATCATTTTTGCTTTTAAATTTAACCTTCTTGGTGTTGGGTTCTTTTCATGATTTTTTGTTTTAAACTCAATTTGGTTGCCATAGTGTCTGGGAATCTGATGAGTTAATGTTTAGTCCCAAAAAAAAATGGCAAAATTTTACTCTGCTGTCCCATACAGGTGCATATACTTGCCATAAGCATATAAGCATGTGGGATTTCAAGAATGTGTGGAAAAATTACCTTAAGTTCACCACATTAGCAAGATATAGATGAGTATTATGCTGAAGCAATGCAAAAACATCATCTGCCATTCCAACATAAGTGCATTGTCTCACAATGTCCAGCAGGCCTACATAATAAATTTTAGTAAGAATTATCAGATAAGTCCACCCAACTAAATTTTCTAGCACAATAAATTGTCACACAATTACCAGAGTGACATTTGCTATCAATAACATCGATAAGCTCCTGAACGCTAGTAAGATCTGCAGTTTCCTTCAGGTTCCTTCTTTGTCTAACTGACGACCTGCGTATGGAGATTAAATATAGATGGATAGATAGATCAAAGTAGTCTTATTTTATGTTTAAAAATACAGGCATCAGATACTCAAAACACTTTAGCATTCTTGCACATTAATTTTTTAGAAAACGAAAATAAAGGAAGGGGGAGGAAAGGCAAAAAAAAAAAAAGGAATTCAGAACATCTTTCTTTTGCAGCAAAGTCCACATGAGCACCTATTAAAATTTCCTAGGAAAGTGTAGAAACCAAAAGCATTTCTGAAAAACCAGGGATTCTCTAGAGTAACTCAACATAATAGGAAATGGACTGTAAACAGAGGCTAGGTACAAGAAGGTAAGAACAAGCTCTGCCATCTCTTCCAGATAAGTCTAAACAGTACAGCAATTAAAAAAGAAAGAGCAGTTTACTCTTTTATAAGCATGGGCTATCTATGGGTCCTACCTCACAGCTGTCAAGCTTGAATTCATTTCAAGGTGGTTCTGGGGTTTCTTATACAAGTAGGCATGCAACCTTCCAGCTGGATCTGATGAATCTGTTCTTACCATTTTGTGCACTGGTACTTTCTGTGATTTTGATCCTGAGAGTTCAAAAATGCACACAGACTATGAACAAATATAATTGAACAAACGTGTTCAGATTCAGAGTAGGAAATCCAAGAGCATGCAAGAGTCACGAGGAGAATGTTTTCTCTAGCATTACCAGAGGGTGAGGGATTAAGGTGTGACTCATTGTTTGTAATTGAGGGAACAGATGGAGAGGATTCCACTGTCTGTCATACGCAATAGACACAAGATGACAAGAAGAAAGTGCACAAGTGAGCTGCAATATCCATTTAAAATGCTGAGAACTGAAAAAGTAGTTGGAACATAAGATAAAAATTCAACAGTTTTCTTGCACTCTAGACAGCAAATTGCTAAAAATAAGCCAGAAAAAGATTCTTTGAGCATTTTGTGGACAGTGAATTGCTAGGAAAGGAGCCAGAAGATGGTTCGACAACAGAAACTTTCTCCCCATGTCCTGAGAGCATTTTCTTCTGGAGTCCTAGTTTACACAGGAAACTGAATAGAGAGTTTAGCTTGACTTGCAGAAGTGCTATAATTAACCTATAAACGTTTTCATTTGGGAGAGCACCTGTATCATAACTACATAGTTGTTTCTATTATCAAACAAAGCCATGTTAAAGTTAACCAAATATTGGTGCAAAAGGACAAGCACACAGCCTATGCTCAAAGACGTGTCTTGAGTTACTTACTACTATTGGACCTTTAGTTATTTATCTACCTGCCTCTATTCTCAAACTGTCACTGTTACTGTTATATTCATGTTCTTGATAAATCTTTAATTTCCTCCAGTTTATACTGAATTTGTTGGAGTACCTAGGCACGCATGGCACCCTAGACCTTCTCATTTTCTTTCTGTTTTCTTTTCCCTTTCCCCCTATAGACAAATAAGCATTAGAAACTATCGTTCCTTCATGTAGCATCTCGTGCAAGACCATAGTGTTTAGTGATCAAGATTTTCAACAATAGTAACCCGGCTAAAATAAGGTTGCAATAATGGATCACGATACGAGCTTTTTCAAAAAAACAAATGGATCACAATAAGAGAACAGAACATCAATTAAAAAAAGAATTTAACAGAAATATGTGTTGGTCATCACATTGCCATAAAGAAAATCAAGACTTTACCCATGTGTGGACAAGAACAACAACCTTGTAAGAAACCAAACCATAAATATGCAAAATTTAATGACCATGGATTTAGAGATTAAATGAGTAAAGTGGATTATGAAAACAAGTAACACTCCTATCTCACCGCTTAGAGAGAGAGAGAAATGCTTTGCTGAGGTTAGCTCAAAAGTCCATCAGAAAATCTTTACACTTCTCCAAGGGAAAAAAAAAAAGGATAAAAGATGGAAGACAAAAATACATATTAAAACTTCTAAATGTAGACCCAAAATGTCAAATAATGCAACAGCCAATCAGCCATATCCTATGCATCATCTTCAACAAGTTAAACTAGATGATGCAATAGCATGTTATTACTGCACAAAGACATGAACAAATTGACAAGCTTTCACCTTGATCATGGAAATCACTTACAACGTTATCAAACTTTCAGAGTTCATGCCAGTTTAAGAAAAAGAGACACTGCAATTTCCTATTCATCATTATGCTTTTAGAGGCAGGTACACTTTTAAAGACAGGAACACATTCTAAGATCTCTTTGTTGGAAAGCAACAGGTACTGCATCTAATTATAGAAGAGACAACAAGTACCTGTTCTTGAAATGTCCTCGAATCATTTGAGTTTCTTAACATTGATTCAACCAGAGACTGTATCTTCTCAATAATAACTTCCTGATTTAGAAGGCTTACCTGCACATCAATGTGTGTAAGAAAAAAAAAAAGAGAGAGAAGCCAAAGAAGGAGGAGCACAGGAACCAAACATTTTACAAGAGCTGATTCAACAGCAAGCAACTCTTGCAAAGCAAAGACTTAAACATGAACAAAGGTTACTTGCTGTTATAGAATAGGAAATCTGTAAATATTCTTTTATTAATTAATGCAATTATAGGAATTATAATTAACGTAATTATAAGAATGAAGAATCACCATAGTTATAGGGATTTTATTTTCCTTATTTCCTTTATTCTTTTCCTACTTTAGAGATGTTTAGGCTATATACATAGATGATATATTATGAATGAAATATGCTGAGTTTTCTCTTCCAAAAGAACATGGTATCATAGCCTACATAAAGAGAGACATTCTCAGTTCTGGCAGATCTGTTTCCTTTGAAACGAAGTTCTTAGTTTTTGGAGATTTTCACTCAGGTCTTCTCTTCTAGTCTTCTGGTCTTCACGCTGGAAGGTTTCAACAAGATAGTTTGGTACTCTTGTTAGGTTTTGTTACTGGCTTTTCAAAATGGTAAGAGTCTGTACTGAAAAAAAAAAATCAATGGTACTGGCTGATATGATTCCTGTGATGACAAAGGTCACAGAGCATAAGCTTAATGGTTTCAATTATTTGAAATGGTGTTCGGGTCTATTTAAGAAGCATCAATAAAGATGATCATATTACTCATGATCCTCTTATTACTAATACAAGGCAAACCTAAATGAAGGAAGGCGCACAGCTGTTACTACAGATTCAAAATTCCATTAACAGTGAGATTATTAGCTTGATTAATCATTGTGAATTTGTCAAAGAGTTGGAGTATTTAAATTTTTTATATTCTAGTAAAGGAAATATCTTTCGTATCTATGAGGTATGTAAAGCATTTTATTGTACAGAGAAACAAGATATGTCTCTCACGGCCTATTTTATGGATTTTAAAAGAATTTATGAGCTTAATGTTCTGTTGTCTTTTAATCTTGATTTGAAGGTTCAACAAGCTCAATGAGAGCAAATGGCGGTTATGAGTTTTCTTTCGAGTCTTCCTCTAGAGCTTGAGACTATCAAATCTCATATTCTTTCTGGTTCCGAAATCTCCTCCCTACATGACACCTCTACGAGGGTACTTTGTACAAAAAGCTCGAGCTCTACATTGGCTCATACTAATAACAATTCTGTTGTAAGTCAGAATAATAGGAGTGGTAACAGAGGAAAGGGAATGGGCAATAGTAACCGAGATGTTGATAGCCGTAGTCAGGAGTCAAGAGGAATTGTGTGCTATTATTGTCATGACCCGGGCCATACAAAGCTTTTTTTTAGGAAACTCCAAAATAAGTCTCAATGACGTCAGCTAGCAAATGTTGCGCTGCAAAGACTATTCTAGTTTCTGCAAATGAATTTGCCTAATTCTCTTAGTACCAAGAATCATTAAAATCCATTACTTCTCCTATCATTGCTACAACTGAGTCAGGTAACTCCACAACATGTCTTATTTCCTCATCATCCAAATGGGTTATTGATTCTAGTGCCTCAGATCACATAACAGGTAATTCGAATCTATTTTTCACTTTCCAATCACATATAGGCTCCTTTAATGTTACTTTACCAAATGGATCAGCCTGTTGTGTTCTTGGTTCTGGAACTATTAATCCAACTCCATTAATTTCATTGTCTAATATCTTAAATCTACCTAACTTTTCTTTTAATCTAATCTCTGTTAGTAAACTCACTTGTGCCTTGAATTGTTGTATCTCATTCTTTCCCAATCTTTGTCTATTTCAAGATCTTACGATGAAACGGATTATTGGTAAAAGTCATGAGTCTAGAGCTCTCTACTACCTTGACACACAAGCGCCGAGATCCATTGCTTGTTCATGTGTACTAACTCCCTTAGAGGTGCATTGTCAATTGGGACATCCTTCTTTATCTTCCTTGAAAAAATTATGTCCTCAATTTCAAAATGTGTCATCATTAGATTGTGAGTCATGTCAGTTTGCAAGCTGCTCTACATATTGCCTCCAATCCTGTGCTTCATGAACGAACAAAGCTTATTGAAATTGATCGTCATTTTATTCGTAAAAAGATTCAGCAGAAGTTCATCTCTACAGGATATGTTAAAACTGAAGACCAACTAGAAGATATCTTCACAAAAGCGTTGAATGAAGCTCGAGTTGATTATAATCGTAGCAAGCTGGGCATGATTAACATCTATGCTCCAGCTTGAGGGGGAGTGTTATAGAATAAGAAATCTATAAATACTTCTTATTAATTAACGTAATTATATGAATTATAATTAACGTAATTATAAGAATTGAGAATCACCATAGTTTTAGAGACTTTATTTTCTTTATTCTTTTTCTATTTTAGAAATGTTTAGGCTGTATATATAGATGATGCATTATGAATGAAATATGCTGAGTTTTCTCCCCCAAAATAACACTTGCATAGTCATGTATCAAGCATTTGTTTCGACAAGGGCTACTTCTTTAGTTTCTGTTCTTTGGGTCTCGTTTTGTACAACTTTAGTAAATCTAGTTTTCCACTGTTTCTTGGAAGTGACATTCTTGTAGTTTTGGAGGGTCAAACATGGAACACATGCTATTATTCTAGTGTTCCGTTTTCTTCTTTAAAGACATTCCTTATGCTAATCAAAACAGATCCAGGCATTTGATTGATGCAATCATTTCCACACATACACAACACACCTATCATGAGTTGATTTCCTTTTTCTCCACCTTTGTAGAATAAACCACTAAAGACCTTAAAGTCATTACTATTTGTTATGTAATTACAACTTTAAAAATTTGGGATTTTTCTATTACAAAATTTCCTGTATTCTATTGTTCAGGGCCAGAACAATAATTCCAAAAAAGTAAGTACTCTAGGAGTAATGATCTATATCACTTTGAGATAATTGTAGGAGCTTCTAGGAATCCAGATTTATTTTCTTAGGGTCCAAGTTTTCCAATTAGGAATTCTAGTCCTAGGACTACTCTAAGAGTCGAAATACCTATGTGGCTTCATATTTCCAAGGGATTGATAGCTAGAATTTAAATGTGATAACTTTCCCCCTTTCTTTTTTCTTACTACTATATTATCAGGCTGTTCAAGCACGGGAAAATCTCCCTTTAAACAGGTTTCTTCTTTTTCTTGCAACCTAAATTGCATTCCCTTTCATATATGTATCAATTGTAATTCTTGCCCAATACATTCATGTCAATTGCCACAACCAGTTTCCTGAACTCACCAATCAAACCCTAATCTTCTTGCTGCTAGAATTTGCAGCAAGACATTCCTTCTGTATTTTCTTTTATGAGATTAAATCTCAATTGAATAAAACCCTAATTGATTCCAAAATGCTAAACCAGACCCTTACCTAAGTTATGAACCCAGGAATCCCTAGTTTTCCTAGCTATAGCCCGCTATAAACCCTAATGCACAAACCAGCATTGTCAAAGCGTGCACCTAGGCACTAGGGTGCAAGGCAAATCAGGTAAAATGGCTCGCACCTCCAGACAAGGTGCCTTTGATCAGGCACAAGTCTTTTTTTCAATGCAAAAGGCACAAAAAAAGTGCATCTGACTTTAGTTTCCCTTTGGTCTCTTTTGTTTCTAATTTCAATTGTTAGATATTCTTTTAATAGTAAAAAAAAGGGCAATTTTCAGCTTCATTTACAATAATAAAAACTAATAAAATGATATAGTTGATGAACAAAAGTTTTCTTGAAGATGGAAGTAAAGGAAACTTGGACCTTTCTTTGGTTAAATTAATTATGATCATTCTTGAGCTTTGAAAGACATTAGGCAAAGGTAAAGGAGTAAACTCTTTAATGTATATAAAGAAAATAAATATTTTAAGCTTATTAGATATAATACATAGAATTTTCTTAGTCTTGCATATATTAACTATCTTTTAGAAATTATCAACTTCACTCAGACAAGCACTTTTTTTGCACCTTATGTAAGGGTCCTAGCCTAGAGTTCACCTTATGCCTTTGACAATACTAGGGCAGACATCCCCAAATCTTCCATAGATCACCTTTATAAGTATGTTTCTGAATCCAAATTCTGCATCTCCACATTAAATAGTGGTGGATTGGAACACAAAACCCCTAATCTATACGAGAGAATGAAAAGTTGAATGTAGGCTAGAAGTATAAGGAGAAATGTTTTCTCCCCAAAATAATAAGTACTTCTAGGTTTCATTTAATAATTGGCTCAAAGTAAAGTTGTGTTAGCTACTAGGTGACAACATGAGAAATCAAGCAATAAAAAAGAAGAAAAAATAAACAAAGAAAGCTACTATTGATTTAATAAGTTTTTGACAAAATTTTAATCCCTTTTCTTTTATCTAAGGTTAGGTTAATTGTGGATGCCATGGTGACAAATGCATGATGAAACTGAACATCAGCTTTTGGCTATACCATTAAGAGATTCATCAATGATTTCTTCCCCAGTACCACCTTATTCATAACTTTTCACCTCTAAGTGCTAAAAGTATAATTATCACATGAAAGAGCACAAAGGAATCCTTGATATGTATACCTCTCTCTTTGTTGGGTGCACATTCACATCAACATGCTCGGGTGGCAATATAATTGACATATATATGAATGGTTTTGATGCTTTTGGTAAGGTTGCAGAATAAACAATTTCCAGAGCTCTCTTTAAAGCAGTGCATTCAACCAATCTATCTGAAGTAATTGACAAAGAAAAATGAAAAGAACGTGAGATTAGAGATACTAATAATAAAGTACAAACGCAACAACATTAGCAAAAGGGAGGATACTAGAAAAAAGTTTAAATATAGGTAATTTTCTGGGCCAATTAAATATGGGTAATGACCTGTTAAGAATTGTTAGCCTACAGCTAGAGAAACAGTTGCAGCATAAAGGAAGAGACTAGGATGAATTCCCAAACAATATGATCTAATGAGCACCCAAAAAGTAAAGGGAAAACCAAAAATAAGAATTCCTACAAAAGACACAGAGAGGGTTCGAGCAGGTTGAGTGAGAGACTGGGAAAACAAAAACCCTAATTTCTAACTCTAACCTGACATAAAGCCTAAGTAGGCAGACTATCCAAATTTGTACCACATCATGCATCTTAACCCAAAAAAGAAGTCAAACTTTCAGGCATGCCAAATGGAGCTCAATCCTACAAACCTACAATTTTGTTCTCAAACATCAACCTGGTTTGCATGACCAGGTTACACAATCCTTTATCTATAGAGAGGGTTGAATTTGAGGCATTGAAAGAAATGTATGCTGATGATCCAGATTTTGGCCTAATATTACAAGTATGAATGATCAGAAATTGGCACAGCTAGAAATTTTTACATAAAAATGGGTATTTGTTTCATGGCATTCCTAATTGCTCTATGGAAAGAACAGCTAATTCAAATGGATTAATTGGAAAAACAATAAAAGTTAGATCTAAAATTTATGAAAGTTATGTTCAATTTAACTTGTCAGAGCCAAGCACCTCTCAACCAGGAGTTAATGCAGCAGGAAAATAGCCAGCATTTTAAGTTTCCAGCATAGGGGAAAGAGGAATTTGGCCAGCTAGGAGATTATGTTGTTTGGCGCCTTCAAATCAGCTGTTAGCTTGTTCATTTCCAATAGGTGATTTTACTTTCTTTCATTTTCTTAAGGGTATTTTATGTAGTCAATCTTGAGCTTCATATAAATTAATTGTTCTATATATATGGCTGCAGTTTTAGTGTTTCTGAAATAGTTATCCTTGAGAGCCTTCCAAGGTTTCAGTCATTATTTAACACTGCTACTTGGTTCTGCAGTTGGTTTTGTAAACATCTCATGTATTAGCCACCAACTTTGTTTCATTGTATGCTGCTTCTTTTTCACTTTCAGATAATCGAGCAGAAGGGAATCAAAATAGAAGTAAGACACCTAGTCATGTAATAGTTTCAATATAGAAGAGTCAAAACATACCATTGATAAAAAGCACCATTGTTGTTTTCTTTACAACATAATTTGAGTTGGAGATGAAGCCATCCATCTCAAAGACTGAACGAGAGGGATCATTATCTGAAGCTTCAATTTTTATCAGATTCCGAGCAACCGAGAGACCATAAACAGATCTGATAGCATCAAGTCTTGATGATGTCGCGACCGAGTGAACATCTGCTCTAGCAGCTCCATGCTGATAACATAGCAAGCTAAGAAAAGGCTTTACACAAAGTCATATTATATATATACCACTCATGTTAAAAAATATAGCTAACAATTATAAAGATAAGTTTTTACTGATAAAGAGGCCCACCTTTCTACAAGAAAAGCTCACATCAATATGATGAATGGCAAACCGGCTTAGCACGTCTACAATTTTCGTATAATCATCTGCAGAATTTTGTAGTGTCTTCCTCCTAGCAATCATGTTATAGAACAGGTTCTCAACCTGAAATACACAACCAAAAATGAAAGAAATCAAACAATATGAAGGAGCTAACAGCACAGGGTTCAAGTGAACAAAGTGGCTCTTGAGCCATTCACAAGTTACTCGAAGCTGGACCTAATATGAGCTCGCTTACCAAAACAAACAAGCTTGAGCTTGAAAATTGAGCTCATCCGAGTTTGAGCAGAAAGGTGCTTGGCTTGTTTATATTCACAAAGCAAGCTTGGAAGTAGCTTGTCAATGAAGTGCACAAGCTGCCGGTGAAGAAAGCTTGCTTATCAAGTCATGAGCAGATCTCAAGCACAAACAAACTTTGTCTTTTTGTTTTGTTAGGCAAGGAGCAAACCTAGTTTAGAAGTTTGTTTCATCTTTCCCTAGGAGTAGTTTTGATTACCTTAATGTTTTTTGTTCATGATGTATAATTATACATATCTTGTTTGAAAGAGGTTGAAAATTATGGTTCAAAAATTTTCTATTTGTAATTTATTTTAAAATGAGTTTGAGTGTTAAACCAACTTTTTACAAGCTCAGGCTAGAGCTCCTTTCCAATAGTGTAAGAGCTCAAGGCTAAGTTACATAATTGATTTAATTTCAAGGTGAATAAACCTGCAACAAGCACGTAATTAGATCACATACACATCCCAACAAGCACAGAAGTTACATAATTGGCGCCACTTAAGCTTACCATGGCTCATGTATTCCCCTAATAGCATTTCCCAAGAACCATACACTTAAATTATTAATAAATTTTTTCTGTACAAAAACAGAAACCAAATCGGCGAGAAATTTAATCTTATCTTAAACAAAAGAAAACCAATGATTCATAGTTTCCTCAGTTCCATACAAAACATACTTACATGAAATTGACACTAAGTCAAAAGAAAGAAAAACAAAAGTGTAGTTGATACCATTATTTGGGTTCCTTTGACAGCAGCACATGCCTTGGGTTCATGCTCCATCATGCCATCTCTATATGACACCCTGCGCATAAAAAAATACACAAAACAAAAGAAGTGGGGTAAGGGGGGAATTGTTAAATGAAGAATAAGAAGAAGGATTTCAACATTTTGTGGAAGAGGTGAGATCCAAGAACCTGTATCCATGCAATTGGCCCTTGGTAATGGTGGTGACGGTCACGTGACCCACATATGTCATGCTCGCTAACGCCTCCCCCCTAAACCCCATCGACTTTATTGACTGCAAATCCTCGTATTTCGACAACTTCGACGTCGTATGCCTCTCACACAATATGGGCAAGTCTTCATGCTACGAACAGCATTGAAATTCAATTAACAACCAATTTTTAGTTACTCTTTTTTTTTTCCATCTTAAAGAAATGAAAATTAGCATTCAAAAACAAGAAAAGTAGTTCAATACTCGAATGCCATGGCCATCGTCGGAGACTTGAATAAGTTTAAGGCCACCGTCCTTGACGACGACGCTTATGGAAGTGGAGGAGGCGTCTAAACTATTCTCCACCAGCTCTTTGACGGCGGAGACAGGGCGTTGGATTACCTCTCCGGCTGCAATTCGGTTGACGACCGACTCGTCCAGACGCTGGATTTTCGGTAGCTCCTTAGCTTCTTCTGGTGCTTCTATATCCATGGCTGATGTCGAAGTTTGATACGGGTTCTAAGTACTAAGCAACAGTACAGAACTCGCGCCAATAAGACACAGCATGATAATCGAACTTTACTCTGTACAGCCTGCTTTATTTCTTCTTTTTTTTTTTGGGGTACGAGTAGTTTTAAGAAAAAAGGATGCAGTTTAAGTATTTTATATAATTCGACCCCATTGAAGTACTTATAATTAAATTTAGGTAAAATTCAGATAATAAAATTATTATTTGAGTTTAGACAATAGTTTTAGATATTCATTCCTCAAATTTAATCATAAATCATTTTACTATATTAAAATTTAATTTTATACATATTATCTTTTATTTATAAATTTTTTATAATTTTTATTAAAATTCATTAATTATCATAATATGATTTTAGACTTTAATTTATTAATTTATTAAAAATTTCACATCAATAAAAAATAAAATAAATTATGATATCATTTATCCTGGACTTATACTTGTAACTTGAAAAATATGTTTATTAAGTTAAAAAAACTCTTTCTCTTATTGGTATAAGGTAGTATAGATAGAAAATTTTATATTTTCCATTATCCATAAAACATTCTTGTACAATAATGAATCACATGATTTTCCAAACTAAGCAAATACTTGCATAAGAATGAGAACCATTAGGGATTTGTTTAAAAAATTCAGTACCTTTGATTGGGGAAATTAGATGCCTTTTAAGCTGCATTTCTTAAGAAGCTAAAGAATCTTTTAGAGGTTTTATTCAGAGCCTCAGACCCTGTCCATGTACACCCCTTTCCACCACCATTCCCATCCATTTGCAACCTGCTGCAGCTCAGAATGGATATGTGCATTCATTTGTAAGATTAATCCCTTAATAATACAAAGAATAAATCAGAAAGAAAAGGAGAATACAACATCAACAATTGGTGGGAGGATAGCACTTTCGTCCGCATGGGCTGCATCTGCATAGACTTCCTTCTCTCCCTCTCTAACATAGCTCACTGCATCTCCAATGACTGAATAGCAAGCTTGGCTGCAACCATAGAGATATTCTCTTTGATTAGTTCTACTGAATTATCTAACCGTTGCGCTGTATCCTTCAGATTCATTGCCTTCAACTTCTCTTCCTGCAACTTTAGCAGTTCAGATTGAGTCGATCCTGTCACAAACAAGATTTCCAGAACTTATATTAGCAACAATTATTCTGCATAAGTACAACACTTTTCACAGCTTGATGCAACAAGTATACAACGAGGAAACCAAACGACTCCAGCATGTCAATATTCTAGCAATCCTACCATCCAAGCAAAATGTTGTGGCTACAGCACCAAATTGTTTTTGATGATGACCCCTAGTTTCCAACAACAGTTTAAATACAAGTTGGTTTGAAGCAAGTGACACAACCCTCAACATAATAAATTCAGGATCTAAAACCCTATTCATTGGCATAAACACCAAGGCATAAATGTTGAAGCTAGCACAATGAAACCGGCCTCATGGTTATGCGTATGATGAATGTCTAATGTTTGAAAATTCATTCTGCTCATGCCATTTACAAACACAACAACATCAAATACAATTATCCAAATAGGAATAAAAAGCTGCAAGTGATGGTCATGCCAATACAAAACCAATCAACTTACTGGCATATCCTTCCAGGAGTCTTCATTGCTTCCTAAGTTTTCTAAGTATTTTCACGTGATTAATTTTGTCTCACCTGTGGACTAAACCCGCAACTGGGCAAGGTGCAAGGTGGAAAAAAAGCACTTGCTGGAGTGAAGATTTTATTACTAAAATGATAAATAACTATATATTAAAAATACCGATGTTTACTAATCACTATAACAAGTGCGGGGCGGGTGGGTGGTTGGGGAAGGCCCCCTACCAGCCTCTACTTGGCTTTGCCTCTGCTTGTTTTGAGGCTACTTTGTGCATAGACCTTTATTAGTTGTCGCTGCTTGCCAGAATATATTTTGTATTAGTAGCCTAAGATCCTATCAAGATTTGTTCCTAAAAGACACACTTAGATTATCCATATTTATCAATTGAAAATACAGCTCAAAATTTTGAAGAAAACAAATGGGCATTTAAAGTGAGGTGAACCTCAAGTACATCCTTAGTGAATGTACCTTGCCTAAAGAGGCCAAGGCACTTTTTTGGGATTCCTCTGAACCTTAGGCCTTAGAGCATACCTTGACTTTACTACCTAAACCTAAACGTCAAAACCAGGATAGATTTAATGCAGAATAGTCATGTATGGGTAACCTATAAACACTGTTCTTCTTAGTTTGACAGGATGACAAAGAGAAAAGTATTGCATAATTTAATTAAATAAAGGATATTCCACATTTTATTTCAAGGCATCATTTCCATGAAAAATACACTTCCATGTGCTACAGCTTCAGGCAAGAAAAATAGGATAGGAGACATTTGACATAAAATAGGTCCAGACACAACAAAAGGCAAGATAACTTAACAATTGCAAGCATCACATACCAGAGACAGGCTGAAATGCTGCAAAGGATACACGCTCGGCAGACGATGGGACAAAATCTTTGTCACATTCTAGGGATAGCTCATTTTCAGCCCACGTTAGAGAGTTCAAACAAGAAGTCTGCAATGGTGCCCCTTTTGGAGCCTGCAGATATGTGATAAGTGAGTAAGCAGCAAATATGCACCAGAAAAGATGGCAATGCTATATAGTTAAGCACAAATTACACTTTACTCCCTTGCGGTTTAGACAGAAGTCACATATAACCTATTTGGTTTCAAAAGCTTTAATAAATGCTTTATGACTCAGCAGGGATTACAAATTAAATTTTTTATGAAAACAACAAAATTATCTGTATATTGAATTTCAAGAGCTATCAAAACCAAATAGCCATAATGTTTTTGTTCTCTTTGGCCTAATGGTTGGGCTACACAATAAAGGTAGTCTACTTCCTCCTCATAAACCCCCCTTACCTCGTGTAGGGTAAAAGCACCAAAAACCTTTACCAGCTAAGCTTGTTACCACCTTCAAATAAACATCATCTTCATATTAAAATTTTCATTCAATTTTGTACGCTCTGCTACTTTAGTAAGACATAAATAAATAAACAAATAAATATACATCTAGCAGCAATTTGGTTATATGGTTAAAATAATCTACTGATGCAACATCATCTGAAGAAAAGTGCAAACCACAAAATGTCAAATGAAACACTTGGAACCAAAGTGTTAGAGATGTATATTTCCCTAATATTAATGATGTAAGAGTTAAAGATTAGTGCAAATCATACATCATATTAATCAAAATAATATGATAGGTTAGAAATATAAACGATTATAGAAATCATAACTGAGACTGTTTAACATGCAACAGAATAGTGCCTGTCAACAATCACTTCTGGCATAAGTGGTGTTTATAAATTCAACAAGGTGATGGAAGCAATATGACGATACCACATAGAAAAGAAAAAGAATATCGGGTAGCTCTGCAAACTATCCTGACTGATATCATTCTTAAAAGAAGCCTTTGAAGACAACCACATAAGTTTCCCCGTGACAACTAGTCCTAGTAATTTCTTTAAATAGAGCTAAAGGGTAAACATAATAAAAACTAAGAAAGCTTGATTTTAGACGAAAATATTTTCATTATTCTAAACCTTAAAATAATATCTACAGTAAACCTGCTCAATCCACCAGCCACATGACTGCAGTCCACACACCTCTGAAAAAAATTAAGATTATGAACAATCTAGGTGAATTAGGACTTCATTTCTGCCTTCTTATATGAAACTTCTCAAGTGTATATTTAACAAAATTTGACAACCACGACCTACAACATCACCACAGCACTTACCATTAGATATTCGCACTTACAAAGGCAGTCCATCATCACTAGTACTCAGCAGGGTTGATGACATCAAGAACCCACAATTCATACTGATTTGTCACTGAAAAGTTGAAACTGCCTTCCTTTCTTCCTTGAAAAAGTCAGTGCTCACAATCTTCATAAATACTAAAGCTTTAAGGAGTTATTGGGGATATGCTTCAAGATAAGATTTTTAGGCAAGTAAACTTGGGAAAATTTAATACAAATCTTTCGTGTTTATAGGGGATACAAATGCACAATTAAGAGGGGGCTGCCACATAGTATAGAGGACATGAGATTTTGTTCAAACAGAGAGAGCTCTAGCAAGGGTTGATTTTCCCCCCATATCATTAGAGTGCTAACTCAGGTTTTTAGTCTGCCTCTCCCATTATATATTAGACTGCTAGCTCATCATTCCTTAAGTCCTTCACTTCGAAACTTTGGCAAAGAAACATACCTGAAAAACTCATTGAGTTTGCTCACACCTCAAATCTATCAAAGTCAGAATCGATCATTCTTCAAACATTTCATACATTTGTTTTGTAAGATAATCTCCTAATTCTATAATTCTAGATTAAGAAGCGTGTTAGAATCATGTCTAGGTCAAGAATTTTGAAAGACACTATTTGAAAACAAGAATCCCACAGAAATAAACAGGGATAACCGCTTCTACTACTGCCAGAAACTTGACCTTCAAACCTAGAATTGCTGTCTTCAGCATCACTTCACAAGAGTAATGCTTCTATGTCTCATTTGCTTCCATGAACACTGTCTTGACTCTTGGTTCTCAGGACTCCAAACAAGTATCTGGCAAACTAAACAGAAGATAGTTAAGGTCATTCAAGGATCCAGTTTCTCTAAGACATTATCAGGCTTATTTTAAAGTTGTGTAGATGAGGTTGGCCTATAAATTTGTCAAAAAATGGTAGACCAAGTCGGGCCTTGGCCACCAAGCATTTGAGGTCATGTCCAAATAAGATTGAAAGAGATTGCCAATCATTTCTGTAAGACCACACTTTCTAATAATGCTTACGCAAGGCCCACTTACCACTTCTTTGGGACTAAGTGGGCTGTCTTCCTACTGTAACTCGTAACCTATTATATATCTTATGGCATGATACGCAAGCAACATTCACAAGCACTTCCATCTTGCGGAAAATAACCTGTAACAGTAATCGCATACCAAGCACATGTTTTCCAAGAAAAATAGGTAAAGAGAATGCAAACTTCAGTAAGAGGCAAATTTATACCATCTGGTGTGACTATAGCTCTAAGTAACAATCTTCGTTTTAAAGCATTAATTTGATACCATAAATTACAAAGTATCTTCCTCTAAGCAGTGATTATGTGCAAAATTGCACTATGCAAACTTTTAGGAACAGTGATAATCTAGATGCTGAGGCCACATGCCTTACTGCTCTGTAAATATAACGTTACAATATCTCACGTTCTCAACCAAATAAGCTAGTAATATGCTTCTTTCTACCTTTATATCCCTTTAAACTGTTTGGGACATATCCTGATTGAGGTTTGTTGTTTGCTGTGATGAATATGCAAGTGAATTAAAGGGCATTTTAACGAAATCCCTTAAAGGGCCTAGAACATTGATCCAAAACTAAACTCTCATGATACCCTAGAGAATTTACTCAGGCTCAGCATGTTGATGAAAACTTTATGGTCTACCACATTTTGAGATAAGGATGTTAGAATATACACCAGATACTCATTTCTCTTTAAAAAATGCATCACAGAGCTGGAGCAAGAAACTAAATCTATCATGAGCGCAAGCATATATGGGTCTATGCACACAAGAAAATAGATGTGCTCACATACGAAGAGAGAGAGACCTTCAGCTTAATTTCCAATGTATTCAAACTGTGAAGTGCCTCCTTAACTTGCAAAACTTTTGAGGTTATATTAGTTGTGCTGTCCAGAACCATGTCCTGCTGTGGTCTGACCTCACCTTTCAAGTAAGGATCTGCCTTTAGTTGCATTTGTAAACCCAAAAAGAAAGAAACCAAAACAAAACAAATGGATTAAAGTTACGCTGCAAGAACACACACGCATAAACAGAACAACAAAAGCAATAATATGAAAATATTAAAGAAAACAAAAAAGGGACAAGAAAGATGATGGTGCTATTATTAAAGAAAAATAAAACAACTATGGACAAAAAAAATTGAACCAGTCTTTCAAAAACTAATTTATCAAGAATATCTCTAACTTTTTTTTTTTGAAGAGCAAGAATATCTCTAACTTGTGATCATTTCTGACAATTGCTTTTATTGAGTACTTTGTATGTTTTACTGCTTCATTCAATCAAGTTTGTGTTGGTTGCAATCACAAAGAACAAAATACAGACAAACACAGAAGCAAGAGCAGCTGCAGAAGCATTCATGAACAACTCCTTTGATATGCTAAAATTTAATCATGCAGGTCTTCATAAGATTTAAAAAAAAAAAAACTACAAATGGGACTGAATGCTAACTTGTAAGGAAGTTAACAAGTGGAAGTTCTATGCAAGTCTGAACTTGAAACATCAATGACTCATATGGCAGAAAAATGCTTTCGATTGAAACTGTTCTTTTAAGGTGGAATCAAGTTGTTAAAAAAAAGACACCACCACAAGGTAAAAAAATGAAAAGTAAACTAAAGCTTCTTATTTTTCTCATTTAAAATGAGAAAGATTTCAAGTTATAGCCATCTCACATAATGCTGAAAATAAAGGAAGAACCAGAAATTAAATAAAGACTTAATAAGAGAAAAGTTTTAAGGTAAAATAACATAACCAACAAGAAACACGGGTGCTGCAGACAATGAGCAGCAATATTTTGACCGGAAGTAACTGCAAACCTGTTTGTTTTTTTTACTCACTTGTAAGAATTTTATAATCTTCACACGACCAATTCCCCTTATAAAGACCAATGCTCCAACATCTAATTGTTCAATCTGCAGAGTAATATAACTGAAATTAGTTCATTAAGTACTTTCAGCATTCTTGTATTGTGATCCCTAACAATGACATAAAAAAAATTCAACTTTTCTTACATTTTCTATGAGAACTAGACAACCATATCTAGCAGCAAATGATGCTTCGCCACCTGAATTGCCAATGGCGATTGGATCCAACACAAAATGCACGAAGAGTTTCTTTCTTAATAAAGACTGCAAGAATAGTATTAGGAGCAAAACTACAAGCACCATTTAGGTGTAGCTTATAGTCTTGTTGTAGTAATTAGAAGGCTCGATTAAAACTTACACAAGAACCAAAATGCAAAATGCAAGTAGAAGAAAAAGAAGTATTAATGAAGTGGTGACACCATCCAACAAATGTATCCCATATATTACTTAAAATTAGACAAATCATCGATTCAAATTGACAAATGAACCCTCCCCTATTCTTTTATTGTATCCACATAAGCCCTTAATCCATAATGGGAAATTAACACCTAGCAGACCCAATGCTAGCTAGCATTTTCTGTCCACGTGACATATGATGTGGCTACGTGACAGTTAAGGTAGGATTTTTCACTTTTCCCCTTTCGCACCCATCACATGGCATATGATGTGGCTTGATGATGTGGCCACCTCAGCTACCACGTGATCACGTCATATGCCACATGGATAGAAAATGCCAACTGATATTAGGCCTAACCATCCTTAATTTTTTAGTAAAAATTAAAGGCATGTGTGGTTATAATAAAACAATAGAGGTTTTTATTGTATGTAATAAGGGTTTCTTGGTCTATGGAATGTAGGAAAGTGGCAAGGGTAAAAAAATGACACGTCAATTTTTTAATAGAAGTGATATACACATCAGTTCACAAATAGCTATGCTTAAATAACAACAAAACCGATAAACTAAATCATTTTATGCAACTGAACCCCTCTACTTTTATTGAATCCAAAAAAATCCTTATCCTTTGATTTAGACCCAAAGAAGCTCCTATTCTTTTATTGTATCCCCATAACGGAAAATTAACAGGCGTCAAACCTAATGCCAATTGACATTTTCTATTCATATAGCATGTGACGTGGCCACATGACAATTGAAGTGGATTTTTTCCCTTTTACCCTTTCACACCCACCATGTGGCATATGACGTAGTTTGATAATGTGGCCACCTCAACTGCCACATGACCACATCTTCAATCCATGGCATATGTCATGTGGACAGAAAATGACAACTAACATTAGGTCTGATGGTCATTAATTTTTTTGTTCAAGATTAAGGGCATGTGTGGGTACAATAAAAGAATAAGTTCTTGTCTTTTTTACAAATGAAAGGAACCTTTGGGGTACAAATAAAAAAGATATAGAGACCCAATTGCATAAATTGACATAATGCAAGGGCTTTTTTGTTATTTAAGCCTATTTATAGAAATTTAGACTGCATCTTATTGATATTTTTACTTTTTGCTTTTCAATTTTTTGCAAGATAAATAGCAAACTATAAATAGCAAAAGCATGAACTAAACGAAGCCTTATTGTTTTGTGGATAAGAAAAAGCCAGAGTTTTTATATCTGATTCAATGTTTGTATATAATTTACAAACATAATTAGTGAACCATAACTTGCCACTTCATCAAAACTAATAAACAAATAGTATGTATTAATAAAGAGTATAAAAACAATTAGCAAAGTCACCAAACAAACGGAACCTGAATAAATCCTTCAAGTTTTCAAAGGCTAGAGACCATGAATTAATAAAACTAAGTAGTAAAAAAGTCTAAAGCCCTGTCTATCCCCCAGCGGCATGATTGGTTACAATGTCAAAGAATTCAATGGGAATCTCAAAAACAAGAAACAAAAAACTAAACAAGCAGCATACCCCAATTAAGAAAAGGGGAAAAAAATATTGTAAAATGTACCTCCTCCAATAGAGCTAGATATCTGGCTTCATACAAATGCAGTGTTTTGCTTTCCGACGGAACAAGCACCTGCTTTCCCATTAAACATTCTTTCAGTTCAACGCTTCCTTTTACCTTTCACCGGAAACAATTTTGAAAGAAAACTTGCCTCGTTCATGTTGAAGGGAAGAAGCGGGAGCTCCAGGGACACCGCAGATGGGCGTATACGGCGCCGTTTTGAAATGCTACGATCTCCATCTCCGGGGAAATGTTTAACCCCGTAGTAGTAAGGAAACGTGTAGGAAAACGGGCGGGGCCTTCGGGTATGCGATTCCCCATTTCCAAATCGGGGCTTCATATTCACACTGGTAACATACAAGACATGGCAACTCATCACTTTTTCTCTTTTCTTTCTTATTTTTGGTTGAAGAAATTCGTTTCTTCCCTTCCAACCGCAAAGCCAATGTCTTATCTAATTATCCATGTTCTCTCCTCCTTTTTTTTTTTTTATAGAAACCGTCTTCCCAATTTCTACTGTTTTTTTTTTTTTGTTTGCCAATAAAATTAAATTTTAATTAGTGTATATTCTAATTCAATTACATATTAAATATTTTAAAACTTTTTTTTAATTCAATTGTATACGAACTTTGAGATCAATGCATTAAATTATCTTTAGTTAAAATAAATTAATTATCATTAACTTGGAAAATAAAATAGTAATAAAAAGTTGATTAAATGGATAAAAATTTAATAAATTAAAAATAGAGGTGTCCATTGGTTAAGTTACCCACTGATGCCAGTAAGCTGACCAATCGCTGGACCCAGCTTGAGCATGAAATTTTTGGTCAAACTTGACCCGATTAGATTATTATATTAATAAATAATGTATTTTGTTTAATATTTAAAAATATAATATAAATATATATAAAGTATTACATTAGTTTACACTTGTTTTAGCTATTAAACATTTTGATTTTCAATAAAATAAAACTTTAGTTTTATTCTATTAACTTAATTAGAGTGAATAATCTAAAAAAGGGATATATTGGATTTTTAAAAAATTTCAACTTTTTCTTTAATATATATATATATATATCCTTTCTCTTAACTTGCTATACAAAATGTGTGATCCCTTAGCTTGCTATTAATCCTTCTAACTCTAGTTGAGGTTGTTTTTGCCTTTTTTTCAAAATGATCCATCTTCTAACTCTTTGGATCAATGCTTGTAGTTGCTATAACTAAAATTCTCTTTTAACTCCTCAATGCTAACTTCGATCTCTTCGAATTTGTCTCCCATAATTTTCACAGCCTCGACCTTAAATACTCGATTGACTAAGACGGACAACATATCTTTTAAAATTAACTTATCTTGTTTGAATTGATAAACATGAATTAATCAATTACTATGACTATTTTTTTTACTTATTAATTTACTTTGATATTATTTGTCACGGTTTTAAATCGTACAATCTTAAATGCTTATTACCGAAGTGAATACAGAAGTTAGTCAAAAACTCGAGGTTAGTAAAAGAAAAAGAAGAAAGTTTGAGAGAATGAGATCTAAGGGAGTACTTATTGGACGATGTTGACCCTCCCCTTCCCCTCTCCCTTCTCTCTCTTTTCTCTGTTTTTCTTTACTCTTCCTTTTTTTTCTTTCTTTTTTTTCATAATTTTTTAAATTCATTTCTAATTTTTTAAACATTTTTATTTTAATTAAAAAATTTTAAATTAAATTATTGTTTTAAACAGATAATGCGATTAATGGTTGGTTTTGGACATATGACTTGTTTAATTATAAATTTTCTCAACTATTTGAAAAGTAGTAGAATAGGAGGAAAACTGGTGAAGACGTTGAGTGGGCTTAGGGCCCAGGCTTTGAGGCAGATTATAACCAAACCGATGCTTTAGTGTTAGATGAGATTAAGAATTTGAGCGAGAAGATGGAGGGACCTCCGGTGAACGACTGCTGCTCTATTTGCCATGGAAGCTTCAACGTTCCTTGCCAAGCCAACTGCTCTCATTGGTTCTGCGGTGCCTTGCTTTTCCCTTTTCTCTTTTCTTTTTCATTATTAATTTTTTTATATGATTTAATTGAAATTTATTTGATCCATACAAGTTTTATTAGGTGGAAATAATGGTTACCAATTTAGTATTCTTTTTTAATTTAATTTTTGTTAATTGAAATTAGATGCATAGAATTACAGAGTTTCTTAGATTATATTGCTTAAATTATTGGGTAAAGCAGACATGGAAAGATTGGATGGCAAAGTACCAACAAACGCTTGGAATGAACTAAAAATGGTCAAAATTAAATCAAACCTGTAAGTAGCAAATGCTCATGAAAATAATTCAGTTGGAGAAAAGGAAGCAGTATACCCTATCTGTTTGGAGAGCTCACAGATGGTTATATAGAGTTCTTCTTAGAAGTTCAGAGTGTCCTGGAATGAGGATATGGTGGTTTTTCTGCATCAACAAGGGTCATAATCTACTATTTTTTTTCCTTTTCGGGATTAGCAATGGTGTAGAAACGTTATACCATAGGTGTTAATGATCAAGGTGCATGACTATTTGCAGATATGTCTCACCATGATGTTGATCATCCCCAAGCAGGGATGGATTTAGGGCGGGGGAAGCTGCCCCCACTCAAATCCTAAAATGGCTTTAATATATGATAACAAATTTAAAATTTTTTGTAAGAATCTTAATTTTTCCACCTCTAAATTGAAGAAAACAAAGTTGTTTTTTATATACGTTAGAAAAAGAAATATCCAAGATAATTATCGTGAAAATTTACTCAACTTAAAAGTTGAAATTATTGGATGACTTTCAATCATGCTATGAGAACTCTTTTACGCAAACTGATATATCAGATTATGCAAATATGAAAAGTATTCAAACTTTGGACTACTTAATACCATTTAAAAAATCACTTAACCTAAAGGTTTAAATAATTAGCTAGGTAACAGCCCAAAATATGCTTATCCTCCAATTAATAAAGGCAAATCTCCATATTCATTTTCATAAAAGTTAAAGTTCTTTGCCAATAAATAATGGCAAATATGTCCATATTCACTTTCATAAAAGTTAGAGATCCACTTTGTTGTGACCTTAACACATAGGATTTACTTTTTGCTATTTGCTTATTATTTTTTGATCTCTATTAAGTATATAATAGTAGTACAAGTAGATAGTCTATATTTCTTTGATACATATACTAATATCAACATGATATTACCTATAATGTTATTCATGAAATTCAAAAATTGAATTTGTTTAATCCTTCATATGTTTTTTTTTTTTTGGGCTTTTGTACTATGTAAGTAAAAAGCAAATAAATGACTTGAATGTAGGGTTAATAAGTTACTCTTTTTCTATAAAGAAAGTTACTTTTTTTTACTATTAAAAACAGTTTATATAGCATAAATAGGTAATTAGATTTTTATACTATGATAAAATTTGTCAAAGCTATTCTCGTATTTAATTTTATCAAGTTTTGCGTAGTTATTCTTAATAATTTGTGCTCCTGCTGAGTAAATTTTTCGGATCTGTCCTTGTCCTCATGGCTATGTAGTATTAATTGTAAACCAAACAACCATGCTTATTATCAAAATTATAAAAGTTCTATACATATCTCATTTCGCTATCTATTTTAATCTCATTATTTAAATAAATTATCAGGTCTTGTGGAAAAGAAAAAAAAAGAGACCATGGTAGTTAGCTGAGTCTTTAGGCTTGCACTTACTAGTTTCATTTTGTAATTTTCTTCTTTTGCTGGGAACCATCTAAACTATGGTCAACTATGGTTTTTTTTCTTTTTTTT